TGTCTCTTTCGGATCGCTGCTGCCTCTTTGTCACGTCTGCTAAACAGCCGTTCCGCATAGGACGATCCGTACGGCAGGGAAACCCAGTGTTGATGCTGCTTTTCGAGCTTTATCTTCATCCCCTCCTCACACAGGTGGAGCGTGTGTGTGGTGGTGACCTTTGCGTTGCATACGGTGACGACATCACGATGATTGCAACCTCAACACAAGCTATCGACCGTATTTATCAGTTGTTCGGCAGTTTTGAGATCATGACAAAATTAAATCGGCAAAAAACAGTGGCTATCGAGGTCGGGTTGGTCAATGTGGTATCTTTCGTCTGTAATTCCACCACAATTTGTTCACACGGCAAAACTGACAGCGACGATGGGGACTTTCCTGTTTCGTGGGTTGCCCGTACGAATTCCAATGCAGCATTTGGCGCGTAGCAGGGAGAAAGGCGGACTAAAACTACAATTGCCGGTGATCAAATGTAAAGCGCTTCTCATCCTGCAGGAGATCGATTCCATTCCCTATTATCGTTCCCTTCTCTCCCAAAATATGCCTCCTCCTGCCGATCTTCCTTGTTTCAAACTCCTTTCTCAGCAGACAGCTCGCTCCCATACAAAGTGACACCGAGGGGCGCTAATAAGGTGATTTTTGCAAATGTAATCGTACTTATTTAAAATAGTTCCAGTGTACCAAAATTGATGAAATTTTGGGTTTGGGTTCCATCTTTAATGCAGATAACGAATGTGTATTTACCTCAAAACCCCTAAACAACCCTATTGCTTAAAGTATGACAAAACCAAGTTTCATCAACGGAGTTATTACAGGGTGTCAACTACCTGAAAAACCTGGAAAATCAGGGAATTTCTTTTTGGACCTGGAAAATCAGGGATTGTCAGGAAATTTCATTCAAAGTCAGGGAAATACTTCTTTATAAAAGAAACATATTAATAAGTATGGCTGACTTCGCTAGTTTCAAACAACTACAACAAAACGTTGTAGTTTGAGGATGGTTTTCAATTTCAAATTTTAAATAGAGTTGCGAAGTTGTGGTTGTTTAATGCTTGATGTTGCATTTTTGCAAGTGGAGCAAAACTTACTCAACTTTACCTTACTAATCAGGCTAAGGCCTTGTTGTTCTCTGCTGTCCGAAGAAGTCGTCTCCACTCTACTTGATCCATGGCCACAGTTCGCCAGCCTCGTAGTCTGCGAAGGGTCCGCAGGTCACCTTCTACTTGGTCGATCCACCTTGCCCGCTGCGCGCCTCTTCTTCTTGTTCCTGTTGGGTCGCTTTCTAGAACCATTTTCACTGGGTCGTCGTGCGGCATTCTTACGACGTGCCCAGCCCACCGTAGTCGCCCAATTTTTGCAATGTGGACGATGGATGGTTCTCCCAGCAGCTGATGCAATTCGTGGTTCATTCGCCTCCTCCACGTTCCGTCATCCATCTGCACTCCACCGTAGATGGTACGCAACACCTTCCGTTCGAAAACACCAAGGGCGCGTTGGTCCTCCACGAGCATAGTCCAGGTCTCGTGGCCGTAAAGGACCACCGGTTTAATCAGCGTCTTGTAGACAGTCAACTTCGTGCGGCGGCGAATTTTATTCGACCGGAGCGTCCTCCGGAGTCCAAAGTAGGCACGATTCCCTGCCATAATGCGTCTTTGAATTTCTCTGCTGGTATCATTTTCGGCGGTCACCAGTGAGCCCAAATACACGAACTCATCGACCACCTCGATTTCGTCACCGTCAATCTGAACTCGGGGTGGGAGGCTAACATTGTCTTCCCTAGAACCTCTTGCTTTCATGTATTTTGTCTTTGATGCGTTGATGGCAAGTCCAATCCGTCTAGCTTCAGCCTTCAGTCTGATGTACGTTTCCGCCATCATCTCAAAGGTCCGTGCCATAATGTCAACTTACTCAAATAAAAGGGTATTTCGATGATATTGAGCCTATTATAAATTCAGCTCCCAATGGGTGTTGTCGCATTCCTGAGTTGAAAATTCAGTTCCGTCGAGACGCTAGACGTTGTTAGTTGTCTTTTAATAGATGTTATACCTAATTGCGTCGTCTGACAAAATTTAACCTTCAAGTAGATTCTGCGTCTGCTCGATCCAGCTGTGTCCAACAAAAATCAATCTCTTGAGCGCATTTGGAGCGCAGTAAATGCAAGAATGATTAAAGAGTTAAGCTGGGCTTAGACAAGGCAAGTCATTGATTAACTCAGTTGAATTCAATTGGCTTGAAGAGTTGAGCCTGGTTCAGCTTTTTTTCAATTCAAGTCAGTTAAATGGCATAGTTTACACGTTAAAGTCAGCTGAATTCAACTGAGTTGATCAAATGACTTGCCTTGTCTAAACCCAGTTTTAAGAGTAGATAAGGATTTTTTTCTGAATACTTTTAGTTCTTTGTCTTTGTGTTCTTAACAGCTTGATTAGCTCAGAGAACTACACACTTAGAAAAATTCATATAAATTTAGGTGCTCTGAGACTGACGCGAAATATAGCTCAATAAAACGTACTTTTCGTTGAGCAGCGAACTTTTCAGTCTCCGAACACTTACTATTACATGACATGTTTGTTTACGTCTCACCTTTTATGTCAAAGACAGATTCCGTCACGTGTAAAATTAGTTATTTTTAAGTGTGTAACTAAATGAGAATTTAGGATAATGGTCTTGCTTGGGAGGTTTTTTTTTATTGCTTGGAGTAGCACTTTTATGATTGAATAATGATTCAAAGATACGTAGACAAGCATTGCTTTGACAGTATAGAGAGTCTAGGTCTTGATTGAAAACCTGGTAAGCTCGTAAAATTAGCTTCACAGTAAAGTTTTGGTATGATAATGTTGCAATAATTTCCAAAATTCCGTGAGAAAAACGGGAAAATTGCTAATCGAGATTTGCTGGTCACCATGAAGATGAAGGAGATTTGGATGAATGTATGCCCCTAGGGTAGAATGTGGATCCTTCCCGTTTTTGGAAACACGAGATTGCTGTCTTTTTTTGCATTCTATAAAATGTATGGAACGCTTTATTTAATTTGAAATTGTACTGGACCACTCTTCATGGGTTAGAGGTCCGTGTGGTATTTCATAAAAAAAAAAAACCATAAAGCACTTATATATTCTGAGGAAAGTTATAGCTGAGGGGTTGTGTTCCCAAAAACGGGTAGGCACTGCAGCTGGATTTTTTTGAAAATTACTGGAAAATCAGGGATTATCTGGATTTTTTTTTCTTCGTTGAATCGACACCCTGTATTAACAAAAAAAGCGATTTGTGTAAAAATGAGCATGCCAACCCTGGAACCCATATATAATGCTGATTTAGAGCTTCATTATGTCCATCAAGGTTTATAAACACTCACACTTGCGGTAAAGTGACAGCTAAATCTATTGTCTAACTGTCAGATCTGCCGCTCTTAAGGCTATGTACTAACCAAGAAACCAAACGTTCCGCATTCAACGATAAAGCTCACTTCCAAGTTGCATAAAGTTCAAATAAAGTTCCGACAGAACTTTTAAGGTCCATAAAGTTCAAATAAAGCTCCGACAGAACTTTCTTCCCAAGCAACCAAAAGTTCCGCATTCAACGATAAAACCCACTTTCAAGTTCCATTAAGTGCATAAAAAGGCCCAGCACAACTTTCTGACTGCTTTAGAAGCTATAGAAAGCACACGAGCAACTTCTCGCTCCAAAAAGTTCTGATGCGTACTCATAGCAACTTGAAGTTCGAAAAAAGTTCAAAAAAGCATCCCTAAGCACTTCTTAGGAGCTTCAGGCAAGGCTGAAAACATGGCCACAAGTTCCGAAAAAGTTCCCAGTGGAACTTCTTAGCAACTTTGAAGTATCTTAAAAGTTCCCTGCGGTACTTCTTAGCAACTTGAAAGTTTCTTAAAAGGTCCGTCATAGCCCACATGAAGCAATTCGCACAAGTCTTTTTTAGTAACAAAATTTAATGAACGTAAATATGAAATGATCAGGGGCTCAAATAAATCATAATTCTTATATTTATGCAGTGCATCAATATTCTATCCAAACATAAAAAATTAAAGGGCAATTTCCTGGATTCAAACCCGTGTATTCGGCATGCGATCTACGAAGTGTGTTGTACAAGAGTGTTGAAATACCAAAATTCATCAATGTGTTGTGTTTCGTATTTGTCAGCTGGCACTGAAAACCCTAACAGCAGGCGTGACAACAGTTCGCTTTAATATATCTCAGATGACGTAGCAGTTCGTGTTGAGGCCAAAGATCTGGATTTAATTCTTCAAACAGCTCCAATACTACTACTATAACTTTCATAAAGACCTGACTTGAGAATTAACTCTCATAAAAGTGCGAACTAAATATAAAATTGCTGTAGAGGACACAAACCTTTTCAACTTATTTTCTAAAAGTTCCATTCAAGTAACGCCAGAAGCTGCTTAGAATGCTCTTCAATTATGGTACCGGAACTTTCAAGTTCTTATAACGACTTAAAAATGAGGCTGCTCATAATTCCATGGACCACCTTCAACCAACCTGCTTAAGCCACAAATAGCCTGTTATCAGAACTTTGGATAACGTGGGTAATTACCTTCGTTATCTGGATACAACAAATATGTACATGGATATCCTCCTAGAGTGCTGATACTGCATAGCTTTACAAGCATCCCTAGCTGGCTACCGATACTTTGGCCTGCCGCCAAAATATCTGTTCCACGAAATATTTAAATTATATCTGTTGTATTAGAACAAACGTTCAAACGCAGCTGGCTACCGAGCTACGACTTGCAAAAAGCTTTCACAATGCCTGTTTTGCCCATGTTGCATCTCAAACACAGTCAAAACCTGTGGCAATTCCTTAACCTGCACCAACCAATGCACAGCAAAAGCGAATCGTCATCCGCGAATAACCGCATGGCAGCATTGCTCCCGGAGACATCACCTTCGTTGAGTTGCGCAGAACGTCCACGGTTCCACTGCGCCGACTCGCTGCTAAATCGGTCGCGCACAATTTCACCATTTTGATCCCTGCCAGTCAGTCTGTCCGTAGCATTTGTCGAAGCCGGTCCCCGAGAGAGCCGGAAGCCTACCTGCCCAGTGCTCGAAGTCTCTAGCAACGTGGTCTAGTTTTTTCCACGATATTTTTACACTCTCAAAAGCCAGTTCGTCGTCATTCGGGGGAGGAATTTGACCTGTTTATGGTAGTGTCTCAGCCCAGAGGAGGGCAGTGGAAAAATAAATTAGTCATTTGGTTTCGTTGAATCGAAGTAGAAGGTGTGGTAAATAAGACTATCTTTTTTTTTCCTGTCGCTTGATTGACGTCCGGTCGCACGATCTGGCAAAGGTCAAACGAATAGTGAAATTGCGTGTTGGAAAGTGTTTTCCTTTTCCTTAAGTGTACATTTTAGAATAGTAGCGTTCCTCCACTGCTAGTTGCATGCTTTCACTGGTTAGAGTAGTTCATTGCACAACTATCGGTGCTTTAGTTCGGACGTTTAATCGGTGTTTCAGTGTACTGCCTAATAAGCGAACAGATCAATCGGTGAACTTTGCAAGACTTATACGGTGTTTCGTTTTACCTTCGAAAGCATTTTCCCATCTTTCCGGAATGGTTAAGCAAGGTCCACGCCCGCTCGTTATCTGCGGCCCGTCTGGGTCCGGGAAGAGTACCCTGCTGAAGAAGCTGTTCAAAGAATTCCCGGAAACGTTCGGGTTCAGCGTTTCCCACACGACCCGGAAGCCACGGCCCGGAGAGGAGAACGGTGTGCACTACCACTTCGTGTCGGTCGAGGACATGCAGGCCGCCATCGAAAACGGAGAATTCATCGAGACTGCCGTATTCAGCGGGAACATGTACGGTACCAGGTAATTTCTCAAGTAATGTCTCGCAGAAAGCTTGACGGTAATATGGATATTTTTTTTCTGATTTTAGCAAAAAAGCGGTGGAAACCGTGCAGCAACATGGCAAGGTGTGCGTGCTGGACATCGAAATCGAAGGAGTTAAACAGGTTCGCAACTCGGATCGCTTGCACCCCCTGTTGGTGTTCGTCAATCCACCATCGGTGGCAGAACTCGAGCGCAGGCTGCGTGGCCGTAAGACTGAGACGGAGGAGAGCTTACAGAAGCGCCTCAATACGGCACGGATCGAAATCGAGTACGGTAAGTGGCAGGAGAGGAAGAGTGGTTTTGAATAAATTTTGTCGGGGTGGATCTGGGAAATGTTCTGGCCTCTTACATAATGAAGTGGCTGGTGGTTGGTGGAAATCAAATTTTATTTTGATGTGAAACAGACACGTATTTGATTTGGTATAAGTGGTAGGAGTCAATGAACCCATGAATTTTTATTTATTAAATATTGAGGCATGGGGATTTCATGGATTTAGATTTATTTTTCACAAATTGTGGATATTGATAGCTAAAGGTACCGTAAAACGAGGGGAAGTTGATCACTTTTTACCGAAAATCCTGGATATTTTTCCAACCATATGTAAAATGAAAAATTTCTTCGAACACAGCACCAGAATAAATGCTGATAGGATGTTTAAGAAAGGTTAAAAGTTGCATATTTTATCACTTCCACAAAATTGTAGAATGCATCCTTTGTTAGGGGAAACATTTCAAAAGTTCTATTTTAAACTACTTAATGAAACATTAAACAAATTATCTTATAAGAATATCCTGAAAAAGGAAACGATGTAGTGATCAACTTCACCCCGTCTTATGGTACTTAAATTCGACAGTGATTTATAACAACCATGAAGATTAAGCAATGTGGCGTAACTAGACAATATATGGTTCTTTATTTAGCCAATTGGTTCATGGTTAGTTGGCTTTCAACGACATGACTCATGGAAGCCTTTTCGCATATAGTATAGTAATTTTTCATCACCCGCCTTTTCTAGGGCACACAACTGACGATCTTCTTATCCTTTCAGTATTTGCGCCATTGTACCCTTGTCCAATAGACCAATATTTACTTGAAGAATATTTTGGAGAATACCAGGTTTCAAGAAGTGCCCTCAAGGTGGACACAAATTACTGTTGTATTTTGAACAATGCGCGAGTGCTCGTGTTACAAACGTTTGCTCGTGTATAGTACACTATGCTATGCTTTAGGTGTACTATTTTATATTTTATTAAATAATGCTATTTATCAATTTTATCTAGATGAACGCGTTATTGGGACCGTACTTATGGATATTTTTGATCGCTATTGAAAATTTAGTCGATTGCTGAATTTATGTATGGGCCCAAATTAGGGGGCATTTAGGCCGACATTACATCCATTTCCCAGGGCTGATAGCGGGTCACTTTTTAGTGACTTTGTTACTTTTTTTTAAGGTGGTCACTTCAAAGTCTCTATTTTCGTCAAAAAGTCACTAAAGTCACTTTTTTTTAAAGCGAAGGAAGCGCTCAACAAAGAACGCAAAATATTTTTCTTGAAAAAAAAGGTTTTTTAAACCATAAAATTTTTTTCAGTGCACCTATGTATAGCACTCAGCTCTGTTTAGGAATATCGGTCAATTCTTTTTCGCTTTGACTGAAGTTCACTTCTATTCGGATCTACGAAATATGGCGCACAGGTTGACAGATCCTTATGGGGATTTTCTGTGAAGTGAATGAATACGAATGATTCACACAAGGAGTAAAGAGTTCTAGCATATGAAGATGAGTGAGATTAATGTTATTCTTATAGCGAATTCGTTTATTATTCAGTTCCAACCTGGATCGGGTATCAAGATTGGGTCTGCTTGTTTTTTGACAAACGTCAGTTTGCTTGTTTGCTTTTAAAACCTAGCTCAGGTTGAGGTTAACACTGACAAAAAGTTCGGTTTCGCACTGGGTTGGAACTGGTGTTAACCCCGATAATAAACGAATTCGCTATTACTCTTTCTAGAGTCGGTGTATAATGAGTCACGCGAAGAGAAAAACAGTTGAACTCGCATCACGGTTTTCGAAAGATTCCCATTCTTTTCACCTGGCAACAGAGGACTTCTACAACAACTTCAAATGACTTCTAGCGAGAGAAAAAATATTGCGGCTGTAGTAAATCATTATATCAGTGATTTGGTCAAATTATCTTACCAAAAATAGTAGAAATTCTCATTACTAATCATTACCGAGCGTATCTCATGACAATTTAACGCTCAATGCGTATTTATGCTCATTTCTTCGATTATATTTTATATTTTATTGCAATACCTTTCGTGGACCTTTCATAGCATCGTAATGTTTATTTACTTTGCACGATAGGTAGCCGTTTTGACAGTTCAATAGGTAGACTTGGCTTCACTCTTGGCGTGACTCATTATACACCGACTCTAACTCTTTCTGGCGAAAAATTCGCCCAGACATACCGCCGAAAAACGAGGTGTCCGCTTTCTTTTATTCGTTAATAAAATAAAATTCCACAGTGAAAACAACGACAAGAGAAATTTTATAACACATAACCTTACCTAGTGCGTTTTTTTTTATTGTGCATTTCTCACCCAACTAAACTACTTTTTTGGTAGCTTTCCAAATGGCGGAAATGGTCGTAAAACTGCGCTTTTGCATTGCATCGGCTTGAAGTGTTCGGCGCACTTTTTCCTTGCCTCGTGAGGAATACGCTAAAGTGACAAGACGTCCCGGATTCGCCTTCCTGTCCCGCATTACCAAGTGTCCTGCAAAACGTTCCACATTATCAAGTGTCCCGGAAATTGCCTAGCGTTCGGAAAGTTGCTTTTGGTTTTTCGTTAGTGTATTTTTGGTTGTTTTTGATTCCATCATTTCTACGGGCTTCTTCAACGTAGTCCTAAATCCTGGTTTCGGTTTATTTAGAACTATAAAAAAACCACAACACCGGTGTTGTAAATTTTGATTTATGCTAGATATATTGTGCATTATTTTGAACCTGGTATATGCTGGAAAATCCTTTGAAGTACTTGAAGGTACTATGACGTTTTGAGAACTTCTCTAAAATGCTGGGATATTATTGTGAGATTTTTCGTATTCTCTACAATTCTGGGAGCTTCTTTTGATTTTTAGCAGCTTTGGAGAAGCTTGGTGTTCTTATATTAAGTATTTGGACTAAATGAACTAGAACTTCAATCCGAAAAACAAAATTGATGTGCAAGGAAACTATCTGAAGTTCTGGGAAATAATTTAAAGTTCTATGAACTTTTCCTGAATTCTCACATTTTCTAAAGGAGCATTCTTCTTGCGTAGCATTTTTTAATAATTCAAGACCCCCTACCCCTTCGTCCTTAAAATCAATAAACTTATCTGAAGCTCAAAGAGCTTTTCGAACTTCTGACATATTCTGCCAAGTTCCTCAAACTTCCTTGATGTTCTGCGATATTGAATTGAATGAAAAAAAAAAACTATCTTTAGTTAGTTTGGTCTTGAAATATTTTTTTCTTTGGAATTCTTTGAGATTCAGGGAACTTTTTTTATATGCTTTGAATATTATTGAAATTATAAAAAAATTTCAAAGGATTAAAACAAAGTTTAGGCTTCTTCGAAACGCTATCAGATTCTAAAAGTTGTTTAATTTTTTTAGAAGCTGGGAGAAATTCTCTCAATAGGGTAAATTATGGCTTCGGCACCCATTGACTATTTTCGGCAACCGAAATTGAAACGTTAATTTCACTGTATTTTCCCATCAAAACTCTTCGCTGAATGTATTAAGCCGATTGCTTACCTTTTCAGCTTCAATCTGATTACATTTTTACGACTGTGCAATCCTGTTATGCCATATTTTTCTTTAAATTAAACATACACACTACAAAATACGGCTGATTTCGAGTTGCCGATAATAGAACAGCTGGTTAACACGCAGTTCAAATGGAACGGGTGCCGAAGAAAAAGAGACTGCTGACAATAGTCACACTCACCTGAGAAGTTTGGATCGTTGTAAAAACATGTTCAACCCGTTTTGATCAATTCTGTCGATTGGAATTGGTAGAACAGCAAGCAGCAGATAAATGTCAACAAACAAACCTGTCATGTATGTGTGTGACGCTGAGAAATCGCTAATAGAAGTTCGGACGCTGCTTAGATTGACGAGAATACGTAAATTCCCCTATATAAAGTTGTCTGAAATTCTTAAACTTTCTTTGATGTTCTAGGATCTTCTATGAAACTTTTAAGCTTCTTTAAAATTCTGTAAAATTCATTAGTTTTTAGGACTTCTCTTTAAAATTTTCAAAATTTACCTGAAGTTCTTTAAAACTTTCTGAAAACTTATGATCTTCTCTTAAGGCTTTGAGTTAAGATAACATGCTGGATGATTCTCAATAAACCCTTCAAATTGCTCTTAACTGTTGAGATTTTTTTTAAACTATATATTGTTGAAATAAACTGACGCAAGGTTCTTAAATAATTTTGAAGTTCTCCCAATGATCTTCTCTGAACTTCATTAATATCTATGGAACTTCTTGAAGTGATGAGTACTTATATAAAGTTCTGAGGGCTTCCCTCTAAAATTGTCGTCTAAGAAATAAGAACATTTATAAAGCTATTAAATAATTTTAATAAATTAATTTCACATAATGAAGGATTATTCATCTTCTCAGTGAGAAAAATATAAGTGAGTTTATATAGTAATATAATTGGTTTAGTATAACTAAACTGTTTTGTTTTTTTGAGAAAAACTAATTGTTGCACCAAAATAAAATATCTTTAGAATACATTGTTGTTGTACGGTAGCGACACCTACTTGAGTTAAGAGAAGAATCAGAAATATGTAAAAAAAGTGAGTTGCACGAAAAGACCTGTTTTCTTTTCAATAGTTTGAGTCCATATTAATAGTTTTTATGTGTTTTTTAGGTGAAGTGGCTATGTTCAACCTTTTTCATGTATAAAATCAATGATTCCATGGAGCATTGTTGAATAACGAGGCGATTTGTGAATCGATGATTTTTGTGTGTTTAATTGTGTGTCCAAACTTCAATTTTTAGAAAATTATACAAAAACAAGGATATGGCTGAAATAGAGCTGGCTCAAGCCATGCTTGATGGTGTCGAGTCAGTGAGCAAAAAGCAAGCGTCGCAAAAACGAGCAGCTGACAGCATGGAGGAAATAGTCAACAAGAAGAAAGCAACTGTTATAACTAATTTCCCTATTTTGGATCCTTTATTAGCTGTCACTAGATTCATGTATTATTCATTGTTGATTTT